AGAAAGAAAGAAAGAAAGAAAGAAAGAAAGAAAGAAAGAAAGAAAGATGGGAATGAGAAGGAAGGAAGGAAGTAAACAGAGGAGGGGAGAAAAGGAAGGAAAGGATGGATTCTGGAATTTGAAGTCCCAGAAAGTTGCCATGGTTGGAAATATTGTTCTAAATGTAGATAATATTTGATGGATTGTGATGTGATTGTTGCAATGAGGTACACAAAATGTTTGGAGGATGTTTTGCAGCTCAGTTAAGCTCAATTGGCTTAATTGGGGCAAGTTTGCTCTTGCAATTGGCCTACCCTGCAGGATGGTTCACAGGCTCAGGTTTATGGCTTTTATTTGCAAAACTGGTGCATGTTTAATTATCTGGTTAGAATAAGAATAAGAATAAGAACAAGAACAACAACAACAACAAGAATAAGAATAGAGAACAGAATAATACAGAATAATATAAAACAGAACAGAATAATATAAACTAGACTAGAATGCAGAATACGGAACAGAATAATATAAAACAGAACAGAATAGAACAGAATAATATAGAACAGAATAGACTAAAATAGAACACAACACAATACAAATACAATACAAATGCAAACCTTTATTGGCCAAGAATGATTAAATACACAAGGAATTTGTCTCCCGGTGCAGAAGCTTTCAATATATATGCAAATATGTCAACAAGGATTCTTTTACAAGGTCGTTTCACAAAAGAACATCCCAAAAGAGGTTGAACTAGATCAGAGGCCTTGATGGCTGGTAGGTGACCAGCGTAACTCACTAAAAGTTCTGGCCATAGCAAGAAAGCTTTTGGTGTCGTTGATAATAGCTGGTCGAGAGGTGATGCACTCTGGTGCTCAATGCTGCTCTGACAGCAGGCAAGCCAAGAGAGATGGTCGCTTGGCTACAAAATCCAGCAGGGTCACCTTGGGCCAGGTGTGCTCAGCTTAAGTTATCTTGCCGATCAGAAACCAGGGCAGGTAAGCAGCCAGGGAATGGTTCGGCCTGCCGTGTGCTTCTTGGAGAGAGAAGGGAGCAGAGGGAAAAAGAAGGGATGAAGGAGCAATGCTTTTGACATAGGGAAGCTGCTTTTGAGGTACGTTACCGGTGCAGGTGTGAACAAACCTCAGTTGCGTAGTCTGGAATACTCTACCTGACTCTGGTTTTTTTCCCAAACCCCAAAAACTTTAACCTTAGACTGTCTACTATTGACCTCACCCCTTTCCTATGAGGTCTGTAGGGGGCGTGCATAAGCGCACCAAGACATGCCTACCGTCCCTGTCCTATTGTTTCTTTTTCATTCATATCCATTTCATGTATTCATAACCATGCTTATACTTATACTTGTTATCTAATACTTGCTTGACAAATAATAAATAAATAAATAAATAAATAAATAAATAAACAAACAAATAAATAAATAAATAAATAAATAAATAAATAAATAAATAAAAAGTAGATCTGCATTCAAGAGGGTTTAGTTAGTGCTGTGTTTCTCAAATCTGGATGCTTTAAGGTGAGTGGATGTCAACTTGCAGGATTTCCCAGCCAGCAAGCTGGGAGCTGAATTCCATCCACCTAAAAGTGGCCAAGTTTGAAAAGTGCTGGTTTAATGCATCTGTGGAAGGAAAGAAATTGTGGAATGGCATTCTGTGGATCAGACAGAGGAATAGTTTGAACCCTGGTTCTCTTCTGCTTTGCTATAGCTCCTTGGGATTAAATTACAGCTAACTTGGAATATCAGTTCCTTGTATGCTTGCTTGCTTGCTTGCTCCTTCTCTGTTTCCTTTCTTCCCTGTTTCCTTCCTTCCTTCCTTTTTTCTCTCTTTCTCTCCTCTCCTTCTCTCTCTTTCTCCTTCCTTCCTTCATCTTCCTTCCTTCCTTCATCTTCCGTCCTTCCTTCTCACTCTCTTTCTCCACTTCTCTCCTCTCTCTCTTTCTCCTTCCTTCTCTCTTTCTCCTCTCTCCTTCTCTTTCTTTCTTCTTCCTTCCTTCATCTTCCTTCCTTCTTTCCTTCATCTTCCTTCCTTCCTTTATCTTCCTTCCCTCCTTCTCACTCTTTCTTCCCCTTCTCTCCTCTCTCTCTTTCTCCTTCCTTCCTTTATCTTCCTTCCTTCCTTCATCCTTCCATCCTTCCTTTTCCTTCCTTCCTTCCTTCCTCCCTCCCTCCCTCTCTCTCTCTGTCTCTCTTTCCCTGCCTTTATTATGTTTATAAACAACCCAAGGCATAATCTTCTCCAGGCCCTCCCAATCAACGTTCTGAGTTTCTACCACCTTCCTCCATTTTATAGCCTAGGATGAAAAATTAGGTGGAAGATGGATGTTGTCCTTTGTTATCAGGCAGCTTTCCCCCTCCCTTTTTGAAAAAAGAAAAAAGAAGCAGAATCTTGGAAATATAATTCCACTAAATGAATCATCGCACGTGGAGGTGTCTTAATTTAGTCTGAGAACAGGCAGCAGAATTCAAGCTTACCTCGAAGATGAAGTTCTCCATTCCAGAAGGTTATCAGTCTCATGTTAGTAGGAATGATCTGTAATCTAGAAAGAGGCACAAGAGAGAGTTTTCCTATATTGGGAAAATAGCCTGAATCCTGGCCTTGGGAAGTGATTTGGGGACACCAGCTTCTCTCCTGCAGCTTTCCAGAGATCTGGTAAGTTTCGGCCTGTAACTTGGAATTTGTCACTCAGCCTCCTGCAGTGTTAGTCTCCAGAACATTCATTTCTGCTTTCCTCGTTAACTGCCTCACGCTTTTATGTTGAGGTCTGGAGGAACTTGGGGATTGAGCAAAGGAAGAGAAGAAGCTTTAGAAAACGGGGCAAAAAAGAAATATATCTGGCAGAGAATCCGCTCTTCTGCAAAAAAAAGAGCAACCAACATTATTAGGGACTGGAGGCTAAAACATACCATGCACGGTTGCAGGAACTGGTCATAGCTAGTCTATCGAAGAGAAGGACCAGAGGAGACAGGATAACAGTCTTTCAGTATTTGAGGGGCTGCCACAGAGAGGAGGGGGTCAACCTGTTTTCCAAGGGACCTGAAGGCCAGATAAGGAACAATGGATGGAAACTGAAAAGGGAGAGCTTCAACCTGGAAATAAGGAGACATTTCCAAGGCAGGGAGAGCAATCAACCCATGGAACAGAAGTTGCCTTCAGATGTTGTGGGAGCTTCATCACTGGAGGCTTTCAAGAAGAGACTGGACTGCCGCCTGTCAGAAATGGTGTAGGATCACATGTTTGGGTTGGGGGTTGGACTAGATGACCTACAAGGTCCCTTCCATGAGCAAGGACAAAGATTGGGATGGCCTTCTCTATGCCTTTTTGGTCCAACAGCTGCTCCTCCCCTGACTTAAGAGATAAGGAGGCTGGTGACCTCACAAAGGTTCCCCAAGCAACCCATCATGGTCATGAGCCCAGCCATGGTTGGAGCAAGAGGGAGAGAAATCCGTTGGAAGACTTGACCAGTTGTAGCTTTGAGCTTGCCAGATGTGCACCAGAGTTGGTCCTTGGGTTGTTCTAAAGTCTTGTTCTCTTCCCCAACCTCTGGTGGGGAATTCCTGTTTCCCTACAGGATGATGTTTTCCTTGAGGAATCTCAGGGGGCCGCTGGGTTGGTGACAAGTCCCCATTTCCACCTGAAGAGAAGAAACCACCCCCAAACCTTGAAGCAGCAATGCTGGTGAAAGAATACCGGATTTGTATGCCTCTCACCACTGAAGAGGTAAGGTTGAACTCCTGAAACTGTGGGGAAGGAATGGAGAGGCTTTTTATTTAGCCATTGGAGCCTTTACCCAACTGGAAGCTTCCTTGCTAGCTTTTGGGCAGGATACTTATGGGCTGGAGGAGTTGGGGCCTGGGGGGATCAAAAGTTTGGAGGTAGGCTACATGAGTTGCTAGAGACTGGAGACTACAGAACAGGGTTGCTCAATCTTGGAAAACTGGAAGATCTGTGGACTTTATCTTCCAGAATTCCTCAGCCAGCAAGGGGAGGGAGAATTGCTTGCTGAAGAATTCAGCTGCTGGCTAGAATTGTTGGCTGGAGAATTCTGGGAGTTGGCCCACATATCTTCAAGTTCCCATGGTTGAGAAACACTGCTGTAGAAAAAGGAAGGAAAGTGGCTGGGATGGGCACCCTCCCCAGTTTTCTAAATTAGGGACCAAAACTTTCAGGGCATCATGAGGCCGCCTACCTTCACTCTTTGAGAACCATGTTTCTCAACTTCAGCAATTTTAAAAAGATGTGCACTTCGGCTCCAGAATTTCCCAGTCAACATGCCAGCTGGAGAATTCTGAGAGTTGAAATCCATGCCTCTTAATGTTGCCTGGGGAATTCTGGGAGTTGAAGCCCACACTTCTTAAAATTGGTTGAATAACCCCCGGAGTCAGTCCAGACCTCTTGAAGTTGGCTGGAGAATTCTGGAAGTTGAAGTCTATCTCAGTTAAGATTGTTGTGGTTGAGAAACACGATTTAGAGGTAGGACGGCCAACAGGGTAAATCCTAAACCAAGAGTGTACATAAATATATTTAAGATACCCATCCATCCCTGGCTCTGAAACCTTTAGTTCAGCCTTGGTTGGTGTTCCACTTCTCTCCCTTGCTTATTCCTTTCCAGATGTTAAGCACAGGTACCAAAAGTAGTTAAATGTGAAAGGAGCTCAGCAGAAACAGCCTGGTGGTCAGAATAAGCTGCACGATGTGCTGGAGGTGGATGGGATGAAGGAAGAACTGCAGCATGATGGAAGATTGATAATCTAGATAGCGAGATGGACAGCATATAAATTTAATAAATAAATGAAAAGGTTATCTGGTGGCAAAGGACAGTATAATAGGTAGATAGCTATGCTGGTAAATAAACTGTGAGATTTTTTAAAAATCTGTCTATCCCTCTAAGAACTCTCTCTCTTACACACACACACACACACACACACACACACACACATACACACACACACTACTGAGCTAAAATAGAACATATAAGATAATTTGATAAGTTCCTTCTTAAAATGCAGTGCTCCTAGCAAAAAAAAAAAAAATCTGGATAACCTGTTTCAAGAGTCTTCCTCAATATATTCTGCATTTCGATCTCATCACCTACCTACCTTCTTATTTGGAATTATTTTGGAAGTGGGCTCCCTCTTTAAAGATAAACAAAAGGGACACATGAAACGTAAGCTAGAAAGAGTATCGACAGCTTTGATGTTGAAGAAGATGCCTGAGAAGAGCATGGACAGCCAAGAAGACAAATCAATGGACCATTGAACCAAAGCAACCCAGAGTTTTCACTCCAGGCATTCACAACCAGGCTCAAATTATCCTCCCTGGGATACATTAAACGAAGAGCCAACTCTCTGGGAAAGGTTCCACTGCTGGGAAAGATGGAAGGAAAGAGAAGAAAAGGAGGGCCAATAGCAAGAGGAGGGACTCAGTGATCATGGGGATGGGGGCATCATTGGAAGATGTGAAGTCCTTTCTAGCCCTGTGATTTTATGTTCTCAAAATAAATTTCCTGACGCTCAGAACAATTAATGACTGGAACAGCTTGCCTTCAGAAGTTGCAGATGCTCCATCACTGGAAGTTTTTTTTTAAAGAAAATAAACTTTATTAGTGAAACAAAAGGAAAAAACATTTAAAAAACAATGAACGTGGTGCATACATCCTGACATACCTATTTGTCTTACATCACCAAATAACACATGTAACAATAATACAAATTTACATATCTCTATCTCTATATCTCTATCTATAATCTTTAATACACTTATTCCTTTCTTTTTTTTCAAGGTCTAAATTCTATTTTAATTGTACACATCTCTTCTATCCAGTTTCTAATTTTCAACCAATATGTTTGGGCTTCTTTGTAATTCCATCATAAGTGATAATATGTTCCAATTTCTTTATTGCATTTCCAACATTTGAGGGATGATTTTGGATACACACTGGAAGTTTTTTAGAGGCTGTTTTTTGTCCAGAATGGTATATATATATTTTTTGTCCAGAATGGTATATATATATGGGTCTCCTGCTTGAGCCAGGGGGTTGGGCTAGAAGACCTCCAAGGTCCCTTCCAACTCTGTTACCTCCAAGGTCCCTTCCAACTCTGTCATTTTCCCAAGGTTGAAATATGGCCTTTTGCAAAAGGAGATGCAAATGTTCGTTATCTGTGTGGCTCTTATTAGGAAACAAGCTTTAATAACAGGCAAGCGCTCGGTTCCCCGGTGGCTCCCCAAAAGACGAATGTGTCACACAAGCGGTGAACAGCTTGCACTGAACCAGGTGGAGCCTTTTGTGGAACACAGTGGCCCCTGGGCACATTGTGTTCTGATATAATTAGTGGCAGGTTCATATTATTTGCATCTGCATGACAGACTTTGGCGCTTGCCTGCCTAGACACCTGTGATCTTTCAGGGCCCACGGGGCATCGGAAATATGTTTAACTTCATAATGTTTTTAACCGTGAAACAGAGTTGGAAGGGACCTTGGAGGTCTTCTAGTCCAACCCCCTGCTCAAGCAAGAGATCCTATACCAATCCAGACAGGTGGCTGTCCAGTCTCTTCTTAAAAGCCTCCAATGATGGTGCACCCACAACTTCTGGTGGCAAGTTGTCCCACTGATTAATTGTTCTCACTGTCAGGAAATTTCTTCTTCATTTCAGGTTGCTTCTTTCCTTGATTAGATTCCATCCATTGCTTCTTCTCCTGCATTCAGGTGCTTTGGAGAATTAGGTTATTATCCCCCCGCCCCCGCTTTTGTGACAACCCCTCAAATATTGTTATCATGTCCCGCCTAGTTCTTCTTTTCCTTAAACTAAAGGTAAAAGGTAAAGTTTCCTCTCGCACATATGTACTAGTTGTTTCTGCCTCTAGGGGGCAGTGCTCATCTCCATTACAAAGCAGAAGAGCCAGCGCTGTCCAGAGACGTCGCCATGGTCATGACTAAACGTTGAAGGCGCACAGAGGAACGCTGTTCCTTTCCCACCAAAGGGGTCCCTATTCCCACCAAAGGGGTCCCCCATCCCTGCTAGGTTGGCAGAAGCTGGGACAAGTAATGGGAGCTCATTCCATTATGCTACGCTAAGGATTTGAACCATCGAACTGCCAACCTTTCTGATCAACAAGCTCAGCGTCTTGGCCACTGAGCCACCGTGTCCCTTTTCTTTCCTTAAACTAAACATACCCAATTTCTGCAACCATTCTTCCTATTAACCTCTTCAGGAAGGGTCTTCTTAGCTCAGAAGTTGAGACCCTGTTTTGCGGACTAAACGGTCTTGTCTTCTGTTTGAGGTCCTCCTGTCAGAAAGCTAGTTCTCAGCGAGAAGAAATGGAGCTTCTGTGATTAGGTGACTCAGGAGGCAAAATACAACAATTGTACAAAGTTCCAGGATTTTGTTCCACTTCTACAGGTAGTCCTCAACTTAGAACCAGAAGGGAACCCGGAATTTCTGTGATAAGTCATTGCGGTCATAAGTCGAGGTACCACGTGACCAGACACAATTTAAATTGTGAATACAAAGAGCCAAATGTTGATCAGGTGATTGAGGGGATGCTTCGATACTCCCTAAATGCAAGGACTGGTTCTACGTCACTTGTTCCAGTGCTGTTGTAACTTCAGATGGTCACTAAAAAATGGTTGTAAGTCAAGGAACTGTCTTTAATACAGGGCTGCTTCGTAAAATGTGACTTTTTAATTCCTGACGCATTTTTCTTTTGTCTTCAGCTTCCTGACTCAACGGTTAAGGTAAATTGTGCTGGGAGGGACTCCCAGGAGTAGCAGCCCTGGTGTTACTAGCAGACAAAGAGGGATAGTGACACATTCGCACTTTAGAGAAAGATTGTGATGTTTTGGTACAGAAGGCCAGAAGTTCAGTTTCCTTCATCAGTTCTTGCAGGATGGGATTACTTTATATTATCTTTGGAAAGTTCCAAGTTACTTAAGGATAGGAATCAAGATCATGTGTAGTGTTACTATCACTTTATAATGCCTTGGTAAGATCACACTTGGAATACTGTTGTTGCATTCAGTTTTGGCTGCCGTGATATACAAAAAATGTCGAGACTTTAGAAAGGGTGCAGAGAAGAGCAACCAAGATGATTAGGGCCTGGAGACTAAAACATACAATGAACGGTTGCAGGAACTGGACATGGCTACTCTAGGGAAGAGAAGGACCAGGGGAGACAGGATTGCAGTCTTCCAATATCTGAAGGGCTGCCACAGAGAGGAGGGGGGTCAGGCTATTTTTCAAAGCCCCCAAAGGCCAGACAAGGAATAATGGATGGAAACTGATCAAGGAGAGATTCAACCTGGAAATAAGGAGGAATTTTCTGACAGTGAGAACCATCAACCAATGGAACAGAAGTTGCCTTTGGAAGTTGTGGGAGCTTCATCCCTGGAAGCTTTGAAGAAGAGACTGGACTGCCATCGGTCAGAAATGGTGTAGGGCCTCCTGCTTGGACAGGGGTTGGACTAGATGACCTACAAGGTCCCTTCCAACTCAAATCTGTTAAAACTGAGCAAGGGCAAAGGTTGGGGTGGCCTTTTTGGTCCAACAGCTGCTCCTCCTTGACTTGACAGGTGAGGAGGCTGGTGATCTCACAAGGGCTTCCCTGGCAACCCATCATGGTCATGAGCCCAACCATGGTTGGAGCAAGAGGGGGAGAAAGCTGCTTGGAGACTTGGCCAGTTGAAGCACCTGAAGGCAAGATAAGAAGTAATGGGAGGGAC